TACAGGAAAGATTTGGAACGTGAAGAATATCATAAAAAACAAGAGTATTAGAGATAACAATTGACCATTTCCAGCAATAGTTGAGAGTGAGCTATTGAAAATCTTAATTTTTTGATTGCTTGCACAAGTATTATAGGAAAAATACAATTTAGAACAACCTGTCATGTGATCCGTGATGACTGAATCTATTATCCATGGACAAAGAGGAATAGTTGACGCATTAAAGACAATAGATTGAAGATAATTACCTTTATGGGCTAAGGAACAAGAGGAAGGTACAGGATTAGAGAATTGTGTAGATTAAAAAAGTCTATACAATTGTTCTAACTATTTCTTACGGAATGAAGGTGTTGCATCAGCAGGTTCTGTAGTCCTGTTTCGCTCAGTGGTGGAGTGAAAGGCTTTTGGGTCACGATTTGGTTGAGTGGGAGTCCTTCGCTTCCAGTTAGGGGGTTTCCCATGTAACTCCCAGCAAGTTTTCCTGATATAGCGTGGTTTATGGTAGTGATCACACCATACTTTTTCTCCTTTCTTATTTGCCTGTGCTTGGAGTGGAGAATGACTGTGATTGCTTTCGGTCATTTCGGTTGAAAATTCTGGGAAATATGAGTTTTTTTTCCTCTAACATCATTCGACGTCGACCTTCTTCTCGTCGCATCTCTGCAAGCACTTCCCGGATTGACAGTAGTGGAGTTTTGCCAAGAATCTGGCCTCGAACTTCATCAAGGCTCTTATTCAATCCTGCCAAAAACTCAAAAACACGGTCATTCTCCATTTTTTTTCAAATAATGGGCACTATCTGTTGCACAGACCCAATTATCCTTATGGTAGAGATCAACTTCCTACCATAATGCCTTCATCTTGTTGTAATACTTAGAAACCTCACGATCACCTTGCCTCATTTGGCAAAGCTTTGTTTTCTACTCGAAAATTTGTGAAGAATTTTCAAGATTTGAATACATTTCTCGGGCAACATCCCATACATCTTTTGCGGTGGGAAGAAACAAATATGTTTTCCCAATTGCCTCTATGGAATTGATCAACCAGGCCATTACGAGAGAGTTTTCTGACTTTCAAATCCGCCATGTTGGATTTGTATTTTTTGGCTCCTTTGTCTTGCTGGTGAAATAGCCAAGTCTGCCCTTGTCATCGACCACCAACTTAATAGATTGTGCTCGCTCCAAGTAATTTTTTCCGTAGACCATGACGATAGTATAACATCTCTGTGTTATTTCCACAAGATGTGGTAGTGGAACTGATGTCACCTATTCTCACTGTTTCAGGCATGGCTGTTTGTGCCATCACAAGAAAAAGCTAAACAAATAGAGGATAGAAAAAAGAGGAGAGAAAAAAATTTATTCAAACCAAGCTAGCTAACCATGGCTCTGATACCATGAATGCAGACACGAAAAGGAGGATCTTTTCTTCTTTATTTTCCGGTATAATCAGTTGGTACAAAAAACTAATTTTATAGAGTTTTACATTTCTATTTTATCTTTATAATTTCAGGAGTAAATGACTACACGATTAATAGCAATAACTTCTAAAAATTACAGTAATAAATTCTAAAGATATGCAGTAATAATTCCTAAAAATATGTAGTAATAAATCTTAAAAATGTACAATAATAATTTTAAAGATATGCAATCAACTATCTGATTCTTTCCATATATTTTTATATGTTTCTCGGATTATGCACTGAAAATGGTTGGGATTTTCCTCTTTATAAGAAAACACGCTTGAGATAATTGAAATTCTGTCTTTGCTGTTTTCCAAGTATTGCATGTGCACATGAGAGTGCCTGTCCTCAATTTTTTTTCTCTTTTCTGAATCTCTTGTATTTTGCTTATGTTGATTCGGCAGATGATGGAAGAGATTCTTCTTCATCTCTCAGGGCCAAGTCCAGCTTTGCCAGCCATGGTTCAAATCCTTGCAGACTTCGCTTCTGCTGATGGTTTATCATCTAACTTTCATTTTGTTGGAAATTTTTTATTGGCTTGGATTTTTTTGTTATTGGAGTCTACTGATTAACTAAATTATCTATTGTATTTTTAAAAAAAATTCTATTGAAGCTTTTCAGTTCATTCCACGGCTGAAAGATGTACTTTCACGAGTTTTGCCTATTCTTGGCAATGTGCGAGATGTGCACCGACCAATATTTGCGAATGGTATAGTGAATTTCTGTTGAATAATTTTTTGCATTGGTTTTGGCTACTTGCTCAAATGTACTATTGACATGGTTATCATTCTGCTTTTATTCTCCTTTATGACATTATGCTGAAACTTTTCTGGAGTTGGTTTTGGTTTGAATAGTATGTATACATTTATTGAGAAGGAAATAGGTATAAACTACATAAAAATAGCACCAAGGGGTGAATTTCTGTTGAATAATTTTTTGCATTGGTTTTGGCTACTTGCTCAAATGTACTATTGACATGGTTATCATTCTGCTTTTATTCTCCTTTATGACATTATGCTGAAACTTTTCTGGAGTTGGTTTTGGTTTGAATAGTATGTATACATTTATTGAGAAGGAAATAGGTATAAACTACATAAAAATAGCACCAAGGGGATGCTATCCGGATAAGAAAAACTTCAACATTTCAAATTCATCAAAAGTATCTATTAGGTTAGAATGACAAATTATTAAGATCATCTTCTTTTTGGGTCAAGATTGATAAATACTGATGTAGAATGAGTTAGCGCTTGATTTGATAAATAAATTAGAAATTGTAATTATATTACATGTAAGACAATTTTACTATTTAGGAGTTTATTTTATATTATTTAGAATTATTATTATAATTTTAATAATTTAGGATTTCTAGGTTTATTAGTATTCATAATACTATTAATATTAGTTTCTTATTCTTATTAGGAGTGATATTTCTATTTCTCTTAGTTTATGATTTCTTATTTTAATTCTATTTAGAAAATGTTGCTTAGAAATTATTATAAATAGTTTGTAATTTTACTTATGGAACATCCAAGTATTTAATGATATTTTTTTTTTGAGAATTTCTCTTAATTGATGATGTGATTCAACCAACCCTTAGGTGCGAAGCCTAAGAACTATGAGTGCAATATTTAGGTTTTTTCCCAAATTTCTTAATAGGTAAAGTAACCTTACTTTGCCCTACATCAAGTATTGAGTCCCAACTAGTTCGAGGTCGACAAAAATGAGTTTGAGCCTCTAAAAAGTTTTTGAATATAAAGAAAGGTTTGCAGCCTTTTAAGTTGAGGGTCTATAAGTTTGGTATTTGCTTAATAGCATAAACAAGCTTGAGTGCAGAACCAAGCTTGAGCCAAATTTTGGTTTAGTGAGTCCAAATAGTTTGGCAATAGGACTAGTCCAGCCTCAAATTTCTAACAGGATTTTCTTTCTGGTTGTGTCATGTTCAAAGTAAATGCTAATCTGTCGTATATTCTCCCAGAAAAAGGAGGAAAAGAGAAGGATATTCCTTTTAATCACCAGCAAAAATCTTCAATAAAGTCTAGTGAACTACATGTGTTCACTTAGATGGAACACATGAGGAATGTAGTAGAACAGAGTGTCAAACCGGTGCCACCCAAAAGTCACCCAAAAGTCTATTTGTGTCGTGTTCAAGCATTTGTTTCACCTTGATTTCAATTGACTGAACTTGTTCAACCATCTTATAGCTGCTAGATTAGAACTTGTTCCATCATGTTATTAGCTGCTAGATTAGATCCAGATATTTCTAACAGGATTTTCTTTCTGGTTGTGTCATGTTCAAAGTAAATGCTAATCTGTCGTATATTCTCCCAGAAAAAGGAGGAAAAGAGAAGGATATTCCTTTTAATCACCAGCAAAAATCTTCAATAAAGTCTAGTGAACTACATGTGTTCACTTAGATGGAACACATGAGGAATGTAGTAGAACAGAGTGTCAAACCGGTGCCACCCAAAAGTCACCCAAAAGTCTATTTGTGTCGTGTTCAAGCATTTGTTTCACCTTGATTTCAATTGACTGAACTTGTTCAACCATCTTATAGCTGCTAGATTAGAACTTGTTCCATCATGTTATTAGCTGCTAGATTAGATCCAGATATTTTAGGCAACTTGACTAGGTTGAGAGCTTGTTTTGATGGGTTGCTATAAACAATAGAGAATCACAACTTGCTAGAGGAATTATGCTGCTTGTGCAAGTGCATTATTGCATTG